TGGAGTGCACATGCAGAGATTATTGGCAGCCGGGGGACATGCTCTGCTTCCTCCACCACTCTGAGGACCTGCTGATGAACACGCAGGAAGCCAGCCTCCTACAAACCCTCTGCATCGGCCCGTACCTCGACGTGCAGAAAACCGCCTTCCGGCTCCGGGTGCTGATGAAAACAGCCTGCACCCTTGTGCCTCACAGGGACATATACGAGCTAACGGTGCTGCCCTCCACACATTACTGCAGGATCAAGATGACCAGCATCTTCGAGAAATCCCGCTCCATTGAGCTGGTCTTGGGGGTGCAGCACGGTGACTCGGACACATTTGTATGCTTGGAGTAGGCGGAGGGCGGTCTTACCAGCAGCACGAGGTGGCCGAAGGCAGAGAGCGAGCCAACGAGAGAGCGCGAGGTGGCGGAAGAGTCTGCTCGCTGCAAGGAGGTTTGCGACAGAGACCGCGTTAGCACCCAGACAGCGATCTCCCTCCTTCCTCAAGAGACTCCATTCCCTGTGGCACCTTTACCCTGGGCAAAGATGCCAACACATGTTTCTTTGTTTGAAAGCTGCCTCTAAATACGCTGAGCCAAGACAGAACGGGGGCTGGATGCGCCGGCCATTCACTGTCCGGGAATAACTCCCTGCCCCAGCGAAGGGCACAAATTCCCCTTTTGCTTCCCCATCTCACTGGTGTGTCTGAAAATAGTAAGATCCATTAGCTGGCACCGAGCCGCTCTTTATCCTTCCCCCTCCTCAGCAGGACAGGGGAGAAAGAGAAGCGAAAAAGCTCGTGGGTCAGCGTGTCTTCTTACCATTTTCCCTGACGTGAATTGCAACGTTAAAGTTCTGTTGGAGTCCTAATTTTTCTATGATTATATGACTTTCTTTAGTGCTGGAAAGGTTTTGGTGGTTAAGTTTGCTGCAGAGATAAAACAGCTACTCACTTCATAGCTCTTATTGAGCCAAGCATTGAAAATTACCTGAATTTTTTTAGTGCACAACTCATAAAGTGAGATATACCACTTATGTCAGATTTTTTGGGGTCCCTTTAATCATGTCCCTGTCCTGTCCAATTTTTTCTATTTATCCAGGTGTGCCTGAGTATAGTTTCCTACTCCCTTGGTTGCACCTAAGCAAGTTCAGAAATCGTTAGCTTCAGGCATGAGCAGGCTGGTCCTGCAAGCCTGAGGTTTTGGTGTTTGAAGGTTGTGGGCAGCATGAGGCAGATTTAAATTTTACACTGAGCTCAGACACAGCAATACATCTTCGCAAACACATTTGTGGCAACACTGCTGAGTGCTTTCTGACTGCTAGCACCAGCAGCTCTTTAGCAGTCACTGCCTACAACTTTTTGGAGATGGTCTTCTGCGTTGGTTAGCTAGAATGACACAGAATGTATGTCCTGGTTCCTTAGCTTAGGTGTGGGAATTAGAGGTTTGCCTTGCAAGCCATTTGTCAATGGCTTCTCCTGTTCATAACCACTTCTCTTCAAAGTCTGCCAAACAAATAAATACTTGCCTGGCAAGCCATTTGTCAATGGCTTCTCCTGTTCATAACCACTTCTCTTCAAAGTCTGCCAAACAAATAAATACAAATATATGGTGTATTTATATATTTATATAAATATAAATAAAATGTTCTGCATAAAGGAATTGTAAATAGAGAGACTAGAAAAATACCTGAATTTCTCTGCCATCAAAAATAGACATTCAAAGCCTCAAGCTCTGCCTACGTGCACCAAGGGAGACAGAAGATCTGAACATTTACTTTTCTATTATAATCCCTATGGGCAGAGTTTGCCTCATCTAAAATTTAGGTAATTCATTGAGGATACCAATTTGGAACCTGCTGCTGGTAAAGATCCATCATGACGGGTAAGACACAGGACACTTCCAGCTCACTGAAACCCTTTGGATGAGTTTATCTGTCCCCTTTAGCTAGACCTGCAGGACCTAAAGTGACAGCACCCTCATATCGTTATTGTCCTGGACTAGTGGTTATAAACTGCCGTTGCGCTGTACAAACAGAGACATGGAAACACTGGCACCTGTATATTTGCACATATATATCCTGCAGGTGAAATGCAGTATTTAAAGTCATCACACAAGTCCTTCAAGAACAACCTGTATCGTTCTCGCTGGAGAGTCCGTTTGCAAAAGGCTTGAAGAAATTTGTTTTTAGAAAAGCTGTCAAAAGCTTTCTGTGAACATGTTATGAGGCGCTGGCTACATGATTGTTATAATGCAGATTATGAAGGAAATAGATTCACTGATAGTATCTATTATTCTTCTGCACATGGAGAACACGTGGTTCAGAAGGAGTGAAGGAAGCATCTGTCAAGAAAGAATGTATCATTTTTTTATTGTTGAAAAGGAAGCCACAAACAGAGCTACACTGTGAAGAAAGGTGTGCTTCTGCCCAGGCTTTTTATAAACACTTCTGCAAAGGAAAGCCAGTGGGTTGGTCTTCCTCCGCAAATGACAAGTCTCTCTGATGAAGATACCAATAACTAAGGCATTGAGAAAGCACAAATCTGTGTGACAGCTCCTGTCTCCATCAGCTCCCCGGCTCAGATCTACCACGTGCTGCACCCATTGCTGCCTGTTGTCTCTTCATTTCACCCTGTGCCTGCAAGTCACTTGCTCCTGCCCAGATCTCTCAGACTTTGCTGCCTCCCAAGAGCTCCCATCACCGCCAGCAGTGCTTGTCGCTCTTGTGGTAGCTAAGCAAGAGAGACAGAGGTTTAGGCACTTGTTTACTCCCTATTCAGGGCACAATTTTAAAGCCAGCTTGTGATTCTGTGTGGGAGAGATGTATTCAAAGAGATCCCAAACCTGAGTTTTCTCTGCAAATCTTCCAGTTTTCAGAGATGCTGAACCAAGGATGGGAATTCCTGAAATCAGAAGAGGCAGCTTATTGCTTCCGAAAGGCTTGCCTCTGGCTCCCAGGATGGAAAAGCAAACTGAGAGCTTGAATGGGACACCATCTGGGACAGTCTAACCATTTCTGCAGCAGGTCATGGCAACCCGCCTCCAACCCCATAGCAAAATGACACATGTGCTAAGGTCAGAACAAAAGCCAACCATGTTAGCCCAATGCTGTGCTAGCCCACTAACTTTCAAAGATGTTGAAATGTCACAGGTATTTTCAGGAATTCCCAGTTTATACAGACCTCTTGAAATGTTTGTTTCTCATTAGACCAGTGCGACTTAAACTGTTCTTTTAAGAAGGCTCTCACTGAGAGGGTTAGAAGGTAAAAAGTCTAGGGCAGATTAAATATTGTAGCAAAGGGCTGAGCTTGTACCTCTGTATCTGTATCTTGTCCTACTGGCATGAAGCAGCGCACAGCTAAATCAGCTGGAAACTGCCCACTGAGGCATTGAGGTGACCTTCCTGATAAGCAGCAAAGTATGCTGTCCCAGAGGCACTTTCTGGCTTCACAAGTGCTGCTGCCAGGATCAGTGTTGCTCAACACCTCCTTTAACAAGCAGGAGGAAGGCCTTCAGAGTATGCTTGTGCCGCTTGCAAACAGGAATAAATGAGGAGGAACAGTGATCAGCCAGGAGCATGGAGCGCAGGTGCAGAGTGCGTGGCCAGCTAAGTGCTCCTGACACAGGATGGTGCCGGCTGTGAAGAGCCCTCAAGGGCAGGCGCTGGCAGCACATCGTGAGGCACTTTGAAAACATCGCTGGAGCAGAGCTGGGAGTGTGCATTGTCGGGAACTGCCCTCAGTTGGCAGGAAGATGGACTGACCGATTTGATAAACCTCTTCCATCTCTCTCCTCTGTAATTCTGTGACATTTTCTCCATGAAAGTAACATACTTCCAAATTAATCTGATTGCAGTGAAGAGGACTGTCATCAGCCTGGAGAGTGCAGGGCTTCACTGGCAGAGGAAGAGCGTTGATGATTTGTAAATAAAACACAGGAAAGAAAAGAAGGGAGATAAGAAATAGATGGACGGACAGACTTGGTGGATTAGTCAGTGTTGCCATCTTATACATACTTATACAAAGGCATCAGGATGACATTATACATCAGTGATATAGACACTACTTCAAGAATAGCTCATTGATATGCATGTTCTAAGCATGCAGAACAGACACTATTCAACATGGGAAGAGATTTTTGATGTATTCAGCTGTTTTTCATATGTATGTGTTGTAACATTCAAAGACCCCAGCTCCACTATGCCACAACTTGGCAGTACCCTGCACAGAGGCAGAAAGTACCAGTGGGACCAGCTGTGGGGAGCTGGATGGATGCAGTCCTGCTGTCTACTCACCTTTATCATATTTATTCCAGCCATCAGGGCTGAGCAGAGCCTGGGTGAGGACTAGGTGGTGTGGACATGGGAAAGCACTTCTCTCACTCAACATGCAGCAAGGGGAAAGGCAACTTTGTGACCAAGCAGCACATGAGCAATCAGAAGTCACATTCAAGGATTCAAAAATGGTGACAAGATTTTGTATTTGTTGAGATGGAAAGAAGGGAGGAAGGAGGACTGGAGAAGCATAATTCTGTCGCTGATGCTCCCACTCTCCTTCAGTTTCTTACAGTCTTCCATTCCGATGTTATGAATTATTGGCTTCTATTGGGAATGTAGAAAATATTCATTAGAAATAATTTTCCACTGAAATAGAACAGTGAAAAATGACATCCCTGGTTTCATAGGTGGGGGAAGGCCAAAGGTTCTGGAAATATCCACAGCTTTTCAGAAGTAACTCAGCCTGTCGTGATTTTCTAAACTTTCTCAGAAGAGTTCTACTTCACACTCAGAAAACGAAACTTCCTTCTCCGGCATTGGTTTTTGTACAGGAAAAGCTCAGGATCAATGTGTGTAAGCAAACCCTTTGAATCTCATTTGTGGTTCACCATCTGATAACATAAAGCATATTATTTATCTAAAATGCCCTCCCCATCCTTCTTATCTGCTGTTTACTTTGTGAAGCAGGGCCAGGAGTTGCAGAGATTTCCTCCAGCTAACAGATCACCCACCCTTTTTCTTTCTCCTTCCTTCTAAAGATTAAAAAATGCTCCCTCAGTCTTTTGCAGCATAATTTTTTAATTGTGTATTTAATCAGATTTTCTTAGTGAAAAATGAAAAGTGCCAAAAAATAGCTTCTAAGACATGTGCATACTTCTGCATCCCTGCAAGAGGAAAGGCCTCACCCAACATAGACCCATTTCTTCATCCTGGGACCATATAACAATGTAACAGGTTTACAACAATCCCGCGCAACGCTACAGGCTTGGGGAAGAGTGTCTGGAAAGCTGCCTGGTGGAAAAGGACCATGGGGTGTTGGTCAACAGCTTGCTGAATATGAACCAGCAGTGTGCCCAGGT